TATATAATCCAATTGAAATCGTACTAATTAACATATTATATTATTTAATTTAATTTATTATCTGTTTTGGATTAATTAATATATTACATCATTAATGATCTGCTTTACATAAATTATTAAATGTTAAAATTGACTGATTTTTTAACATGTCATTCTTTTACCATTTCACGTTCTTCAACTAGATTTTTGTCAGACATGATTAGTTCATTGACTAGTTTTTCAGGAACCAGTTAACATGTTAGCTATCTGCTAATTTATCAAACATAACCTTAAACTATCATATCATTTTTAATAATACCCTTTTGATACTTGTAAATTTAACCTTTACGAAACACATTATAGTAATTCTTGTGGTAAAAAATTTAATCTGCAAATATAACTAAACAAAGAAGCTTAGATCCTGTTAACATTACACATATATAACATGACAAGACTAATTCCCTATTTCACAATTTCACTTGCCAGTTGCCAATCAAAAACTAATGAGTCGTTTGTTTACCTCTTAATAGTTTCATTAAGAGGCAACTTTTGAATCGTTAAGAGATGAATCTTGTTTGACAAAAAAATTTGTTGTCTCTTAATGGTTCTAAAACCCTGTCAATGATTTTGTATCTTATGTCTCCTTTAACCATTCAGTACCCTAGTTTCATTGTAAACAATTAACAAACAATTATATTTTATTTTGCATTATATCATAAACATCTTTTAATCATTCTGTACCAAATCATTCAGCAATTCCAAACATCTCCTAAGTGAATAAGCCCAATAACTACAATGCATATATAAAGAAACACTGACCAAAAGAATATTAAATTAATTTGGCCCATAAAAACACCCCAACCCATTAACAATACTATTAGAAATCTTTATATCTATACTATATTATAAAATATTTGATAAAAAAATTTAAAAACTATTTTTTATGTATTAAGTATTATTTCTTAATGCATATTACTTAAAATTTAAGATTACAGGTAAATTATGCATAAGTACAACTTATTAAAGCTTTATGTTTGAATTCGTGTAACTAATTGCGGATAAACATAATCAAATAGTAGATAAACATCTCAATTTAAATATAAAAAATCTAAAATATAATTAGGATAATTATTAAGTTCTAACTAAAGTCTTAATTATTATCTTTATAAAAAATTATATTATTAAACTAAAAATAAAAGAATGAATTAAAAAAATATACAAAAAAGGGAGAAATTTTAAATAGTTAGTTTGGTACTAACATCAATTTTTCTTAAAATTTTATGATATCTTCATATTTATATTTTATTCAAAAATAAAAACATTATTGTTTTCTCAAAATCACATAAAATTGTATTATAACATTGACTGAGACAAAAATAAATAAAACGAAACATTAAAATCAAGATGTATCCTGCTGCATTGTGCGAGTACCCTTCTAGTAATTTCAAAAAACAAAACAACGAAAAAAAATCAAAACATGAAAAATTTCCTTCCTTTTGCCCTTCGCTCAAAGGGTTGAAGGGAGATATTTCTAATGACTAGTAGTGTACCCGCGCAATGCGGCGGAATGTAAAATTTTGAAAAGATGTAAACGGACATATAGATTACGGATAAAAAATTTGTATTTTGTTCTATCAGGATATATATATGAAAAGATTTAAAAGGTTATATCAGGATATATATTCAACTTCTCGCGCAATGCGTCATGATGTAAAGGTTCTATCAGGATATATATTCAATTTTTAAATATCATTTTATATTGCAAAATATCTTTGAAATAGTTGGTGGTTCACATCTGTATCAAAATCCGAAAATGACAAATTAATGCAATTTCACATTCAGAAAGTCTAAAATTTATGTTTAAAAAAAATAGAAATTAGAATCATGTTTTTATCATACACAATCATCATTCAAAACCTATTGATACACCACATTTGCTGTGTAGACTCCTTCCTTATTGAACTTTTTGGTAGGTTTCACTAATACCTTCGTATTACCACGTGATATCCCTCTGGACAATGCCACGTAAAGTTGGTCGTGCGAGAATACCGATTCCGGTAAATAAACACCTACCATCGGAATTGTCTGTCCTTGAGCTTTATTGATTGTCATGGCAAAACAAAGTCGAACAGGAAATTGTTTTCTCTTTAATTTAAAGGGAAACATATCATCTTCAGACGGACATAGAGGAATTCTTGGTAAAAATACCCTCTTACCAGCATGCTGACCAACAACTATTTCTGCATTGATAGCATTCTGCTGAAAACCTCTACATATCAACCTCGTGCCGTTACACAATCCATTTGAGGTGTCGATACGCAATAGTATTATCGGACATCTAATTTTAAGCCGGAGGTAATGAGGGGGCAAACCGCTAACAGTCAAAGAGTTTAAAAACTCCATCAGATATAAGTTATTCTTGTCATCTTCTGCTTCATCAAAACTGTAGTAAATTTTTTCCTCTCCACAAAATCTTTCAATCAACTGATCATTAATCTCGTCGACATGCTCATTTTTTGTTGTTAGTATCGCCCTCGAAATGATATAATCTGAAGCAGTCTCGTAGGTTTGAAGATAAGGAAATATTGCATCAATCAAAGCATCCTTCGATTCATTTTTATTTGTGTAAGGAATGGCCATATCATCAGGTATGCGAATAAAGTTTTCGTCTACTGATTCTTCATCTCCATCACCGACACGTAACAGAAAATCTGAAAACCATGGATCAGTAAGTGCTCTCATATTGATCGTTAACCACAACTTTTTAATCGAAGACCAAATAGGTGACATCCGTAAGCTTGAGTCTATGATCTGTGCTCGAGTGCCATGTCTCATTACTGGCAACACCTGTCTAAAATCACCTCCCATAATCATTATTTTCCCACCAAATGGAAGTCTCACCCCAGTGATGTCTTGCATTGTTCTATCGAGTGCCTCTACTRCCTGYCTCTTTGCCATTGATGCTTCATCCCAGATGATTATTTTTGCGACTCAAAGCAATTCCGCTTTGTTTTTTTTTATATTGCACACCGAATTATTACTAAGAGTAAGGGGAATCTTGAATCGAGAGTGAGCTGTTCTCCCCCCGACATGTTATTAGCGGCAACACCGGATGAAGTGGTTGCGAGAGCAATAAGTCCACGGGAACGAACATTAGCTAGCAAAGCTCTATACAAAAATGTTTTTCCAGTTCCACCCGGTCCATCTACAAAAAACACAGCTGGACAATCATTATCTACATGCGTCATGATCTCATCAAATGCATGTTTCTGGTCGGAATTTAGAGAGTTTCGAGCATTTAAGTCTTCGTCTTGCGCAATTATGGAGTACTCCTCTTGTACCTCATGAAATCCTCGTGATTCTAAATTGACAGCTGCATTTAAACTTGGAAGATCAAAATCATCGAGGTTCGTACTCATAGATTGTAAAAAGACGGCGATGTCTGTAAGAACCATATTTCGGACTCCCTCAACATTTTTGTAGTCTCGTCTATAATCTTCAGAGAGTGAATCATAATGTTCATCCCATAACTTGCGAACATCTCCCGGCTCACAATAAATCAAGATCGTCACGAATAATCGTCTAAGAGCATTGGGAAACTGAAATAAGGAGGCATCGGCAAGACAATGCGATAAATTATCGTCGGTCTCTATTAAACCTCTCTCAAGTGTTGTTTTGTGAAATGTTGGATGTATAATGCCATTAACCGTGTAAAGATCTTCAAAGCACGTGGGTCCACTAATATGAGACAGAAGTAGGCGTAGATAATATCGTTCTCCTTCGGCAGGATTAGCATGAACCAGTCGTCCTCTCATTGATCCTTGTTTTCGAGGATTCCATTTACATGAACTAGCATTCCATGTGTAATATTTCGGAAAATCTTTGTATAAATATTGTCTCGCACTCATATCTGTTTTATTCCTCTCAAAAAATG